TATTCTTAAAACAATGCTCCTTTAATAACAAAGACATCTCTTTATTTTCAAAAATAATTCGAGCAATTCTGGCTTAATCCACAACTCAAAGTAATGTTCCGCTAGAGTCTAACAGTCAACTAAGTAAAATACTGCTGTGCACAACTTAGATTTGTCTATGAAAAAAGCAGCATACAGATGACTCACAAAATACCTTTCTACATACATCATGCTAGAATGATATATACCAGATAAGTACCAGAACAGGACTTCTCGGGGTCTCTATAAGCATAGCCCCTACAGAGAGTAGGATAAACTTGTCTGGTTCTTACGAGGAGAGGGGAAAGGAGTTATCTTTCCCCCTTGGTCATGTGACACGAGGCTGTCCGAAACTAGCCTGAAGGGGCTGAGGCACCCATCATACCTGGCAAGGACCTGCAGAGCTGGGGCTTCCTTCTGGTCTCACTACACATCCAAATCTCAAACACAATTGTCTCTTCCCCTTTCCCTAACCATAGCCCTTCCTTCTTCCTATGTATATATTACTTTGTTCAATATACAGCATCATTTTAGTTTCTATTTCAATTTAATATATTACTCTGGTGTGACATCCCAGCAAATAACCCTAATCCTCCTATATAATTTCTACTACTGGTCATAAGGATTTCTGGAACACATCTTTTGTTAACTAAACTATTACTATGCAATCTCTACTATACTGCTGTATACTTACTTTTCTATCTGTCAGTTGTCTCAGGCCTACATGTCAGAGTATATAGGATTCTTTAAATGGAAAAAGATTTGGGACAGCCTTAAACGGAAAATGGCTAAGAGGGAGTATCTTTATCCCTCTCCCCTAACAGAGGCTCTGGCCTTAGCTCTCCGCTGTTCCTATCAGAGAAACTACCACTTCCTCTCACTTGAGTCTCGAAGCATCTTCCCTTCTAACAGAAAGAAGTAGGAGTGAAACTCTAAAGCCTGGGGTCATTCTCCTAGGTTTCTATCTCCCCAAGGGTGAATGTCAAAAATCTTTCACATGCCATTTGACTTTACCTTCCTTTCTAGTTTTTTTTTTTTAGTTTTATTTATTTATTCATGAGAGACACACACACACACAGAGAGAGAGAGAGAGAGAGGCAGAGACACAGGCAGAGGGAGAAGCAGGCTCCCCGCAGGAAACCCAATATGGGACTCAATCCCAGGACCCCGGGATCACGCCCTGGGCTGAAGGTGGCACTAAACGGCTGAGCCACCCAGGCTGCCCTTCCTTTCTAGTCTTAATACTCAGTTCATTTTTTAAAATTTGCCCCGACAACTTATTTACTCCATGGTTTAAAACTGAAAAAACAGACTGAAAGAAATCTGAAAATTCTATATTCCCAATGTAGTAAATTTATGGTTACTGAGAGAATATGGTAACCATGTTTCTCCAAACACAAGGTCTAAAGGGATCATGGTTCTTAGATAACTGGCACTGCTGCAGAAAATCCAGGACTCAAGACTTCTCTAACTAGGTAAAACTGTAATCACACATCTTCATTTGTCTATGATAATATGGTTTGTAGGTAGTCAATGGGAAACCTGTCCATCTGATGTGACATTATTTAAGCAAAGCAAACAAGGAAAAGGGAGGTCCCAAAATATAATTCTGAACAACTTTAATATTGACAAACAAAATTCACCTTCTGGGATGTCTGGGTGGCTCAGCAGTTGAGTGTCTGACCAGCTCAGGACGTGATCCCAGGGTCCTGGGATCGAGTCCCACATCAGGCTCCCTACATGGAGCCTGCTTCTCCCTCTGCCTATGTCTCTCTCTCTCTGTGTGTCTCTCATGAATAAATAAAATCTTTAAAAAAATAAAATCTTAAAAAAATAAGAAAATAAAATGTTCTAGAGTAAATTGTTTCAGCTAAATCCTCAGTGAAAAATATCTAGACTTGCTGCGAAATACAAAGAAAACAGTTAATTTAGAATTAGTATAACTGCCAAAGACAAAATTCCAAAGATGGGAAGAATATTGGGGCAAAATACGCATTTACTAAAAGTAATACTAAAAAGTCTAAGTGCTGTATCTCAGTCTACAAAATCATGATATTTATTTTATAGGTATTTAAAATGTTTTAATATTTTATTTATATTATCAAGACTATAACAAATGTGATTCCTATTTTCATGATCTTCAAATCGGTAATACATACAAATCTTACAAGGTGTTAAATAAATTTTTGAAATAAAGCATCATTTAAATCAAACTTTCTTCCAGGTATAAATGAAGAAAGTGTTTAAAATCAAAGTTCTCACTAAAAAAGAGCTTTGAAAATCAGGTATTTTGTATAAGGTGTACTAAAAAACTTAAGCAGAGAAAATCAGATTTAACATCGTTAAAAATGGGGACTGAGGGGTGCCTGGGTGGCTCAGTCGGTTGGGCATCTGCCTTTGGCTCAGGTCGTGATCCCCGGATCCAGGATCGAGTCCTGCATCGGACTCCCTGTGAGGAGCCTGCTTCTCCCTCTGCCTATGTCTCTGCCTCTCCTCTCAATCTGTGTCTCTCATGAATAAATAAATAAATTTTTAAAAAAATAAATAAATAAAATAAAATAAAATAAAAGTAGGAGATCCCTGGGTGGCTCAGCGGTTTAGCGCCTGCCTTCAGCCCAGGGTGTGATTCTGGGGTCCTGGTATTGAGTCTTGTGTTGAGCTCCCTACATGGAGCCTGCTTCTCCCTCTGCCTGTGTCTCTGCCTCACTCTCTGTGTCTCTCATGAATAAATAAATATCTTTAAAAACTATTTTAAAAATCCTCTAAAATCAACAATAAAAAATTCCAGTTAGTAAATGCGCTAAAGAAATGAAGAGAAGACATTTCGATGAAGAGAATATGCAGATGACAAGTCCATAAAATGATCCTTAGCATCATTAACCATAATGGAAATGCAAATTAAAACCACTATACCGGTCACACATACATACATACCTATCTGAATGTCTAAATAAAAAATAGGAACACTAAATGCTCATGAGGATATGGGGAGACTGATCCCATCTACATTGCTGGCGGGAATGTAAAATGGTACAGAAACTCTGGAAAATAGTTTTTAAGTTTCTCATCAAAACTAAACATGTAACTGCCATGTGACCCAGCAACTTATCTCCTAGGCATTTATCCCAGAAAAAGGAAGACTTGTGTTACATTCCATGTAGCTGTACTGGAATGTTTATAGCAATGTTATTCATAGTAGCCCAACAATGGAGACAACTAGGTGTCCTTGAAACAAAGTGTGGTACATCTACCTCATGGATTACTATTCAGCAACTAAAAGGAGCAAACTAATGACACATGCAACCACCTGGATGAAATCTTCAGAGGATTTTGCTCCGTGAAAAAAATCCAATCCCCAAAGGTTATGTGATTATTAAATAACATTCTTGAAATGAGAAAATTATAGAATGAAAAACAGATTAGTGGTTATCAGGGGTTAAGGAGGATGTCGGGTAAAAATGAAGTGAATGTGGTTTAAGTGGCCACCTGAGGAACTCTGTGGTGATGGAAACTTCTCTATCCTCCACGGTATCAATGGCAATGTCTTGGTTGTGCCCTTGTAGTGCGGTTTTGCAGGGTGCTGTTACTGAAGAAAACTGGATAAAGGTTACAGGGGATCTCTGTTATTTACCAACTGCACCACTGCATCTCAATCCTCAATTACCCCAAAAATAAAAAGGTTACAATTAAAGGTAGCCTTGCTACTGCAAAATGAGCACAGCACTTAACAAGAAATCCAACACCAATTAAATGCAGCACTCCGCCCAGGTCTAATTCTGCAGATTACTCTGAATCCGTTTATGAAGCACATTTTCCTCTCCTACACACACGCAAAAGAAGTGTAACACAAGCTCAGACACAAGCACTCGCATTTCTCCAAACACGGGCCAAAGGTAGAAAGTGACCTGGCCTGAATCAGGAGGAAAAACGCTGGTCCTGGCGCGACCGAGGAAACCAACTGCGCTGACTTCCACAGGTCCTCCCACCTCTCAGGCTGCAGCCCCAGCTCCATCCTGCAGGCCAAACTAATCTAGGAAGCCTGCTTACAGCAAGAGTGCCCAATCCTCCTGGTCTCAGGCCCCACAGAGCTCCCGCTAACCTGGAGTGGAACCAGGAATATCCACAGTATTAGTAAGTAAAGGACACGCATCCGCCCTCAGAGAAGCGAGGTCCTTCCACATCGTGCAGTCCCTGGAGAGCTCCACGCCTACGTAGAAAGAGGGCGAAAAGGGCAAGTACCTGGTTGCTATTGTCATGAAAATAACCGTGACCGCAGTTTGAGAACCAATGGAATCTATCTGTGTAAGCGATCCTACAAGTATGAAACACTGAACAAATTACTCCCATACGTTCCTTTAACGTCAGGGCGCCAAGGACACACACACACCCCGCGAATCCCACCGGAGGACACGGGGGACCACCGCAAGCGGGTCACGAGCGGCCCCGGCAAGCGCGGTCCCGGAGAGGGTACGACTGCGCTAACGGGCTCCGCGCGTCCAGAACCGTTACAAGGAGGGACTACGATCCCTGCTGCCGGTTGGACTCCTGAGCAGCGAGGGAAGCCGGGCGGACCCTTCCGGGGACTGCAGACCGAGCCCCGGCTCCCGGCGGCCACCGACCGCCACGCTGCTGCGGGAGGAGCAGGAGGAGGGAGGCCCCGCTCCCCGAGGGGTCCGCTCGAGCAGGGGCGCTCACCGGGCCGCGCTGCAGCCGGGGGGGGGGGGAGGAGGGGCCCCGTGGCCCCCGCGGGGTGCGCCGGGGCGGGGGGGGGGCCGGGAGGGCCTGGGCAGCGCCAGGCCGCGGGGCAGAGCAGGGGGAGCCGAGCGGGGGCAAGCAGGGGCGCGGCCCGTCTGCGCTGCGGGCCCGAGCCTCGGCGGAGGAAGCGAAGTCGGGCCCGGGCCCGGGACCGGCGGGGCGGGGCGGGGCCCCGGGGGAGGGGCAGGCTGGGCGCGGAGGGGCGTGAGGGGTCGGCGGGGACTCACCGGGTGCCGCGCCACCTCAGAGGCCATGGTCCCGAGCGGGAGGGCTCAGCCCCGGGCCCGCGCGCCGAGCGTCCCGACCACGGAGGGAGCAGGGGGGGGGCCGAGGAGGCTGGGACCCGCGGGGCGGAGGCCGGTGGGACGGGCGGGGCGGGCCTCCGCCGCGGGGAGAGGCGGCGCGGAATGTCCGGGGAAAGGGGAGGAGCCAAGCCCCGCGGCCTCCGAGACGCGGAGACGCGGGGGCGCAGGGCCGGAGGGCGGCGGCCCCGCCGGGCAGGGCGCGCGCCGCGAGCCTCCCCCAGGGGAGCAAAGCCACGACCGGGGAGGGGGACGCCGCAGGACACAAATCTCGGCCAGCGGGCAGCCGCGAGCGGGACCCGACTGCCGCTCCGCGCGGGGGCCGGAAGGGGGCGGGGCGGGCGAGGGGCGTGAGACCGCGGGCGGCCCGCGCGGGGACCGGAAGTGGGCGGGGCGGGGCGGGGCGGGGGCGTGTCCGGCCGGGGTGCGGCCCCAGTCGGGCGGCGGCGGCGGCGGCGGCGGCGGCGTCTCCCGCCGCGGACGTCCGGGCGCGGAACCTTGGGGCCCGGCCGATTGGACGGTCAGTGGGTGAGCCGCCCCCGGGGATGGGGCCGGGCTGAGCCTCCGCCGCCGGACGAGCAGGGTGGCCAGGGATGGAGGCGCCCGCGGAGCTGAGCGTCGAAGCGGTGCTGCGCTTCCTCCGGGAGCGCGGGGGGCGGGCCCCGCACGCCGAGCTGGTGCAGCGCTTCAGGGGTGCCCTGGGCGGGGACCCCGAGCAACGCGCCCGCGCCCGCGCCCGCTTCAAGGAGCTGGTGAACGCCGTGGCCACGGTGCGCACCGACCCTGCCGACGGCTCCAAGTTCGTGCACCTCAAGAAGAGGTTCTTGGAGGGGGCCCCGCCGGACCTGCCCCGCGCCTCGGGGACCGCAGAGCCCGAGGCCAGCCGCGGCGCCCCGCCGGAGTTCCCAGACGGCGGCCAGCGCTCGGAGGCGGCGTCCCCCGCGGCGTCCCCGCGTCCGGGCGGCGGGCCGGGCGATGGGGGGCCGCCGGGCGTGGACAGCGAGAGCTGCCGCGGGCCACCCCTGAGCGCCGGGGCCCGGCCCAGGAACCCGCGGCGGGACGCGCAGCCTAACCCCCGCGGGCCGGGCCCCGGGCCCAGCGAGGACCCGGCGCCCGCGCCCCCGCCCCGCCCCGCCCCGCCCACGGCTGCGCGGAGACGGACGCGGGAACCGCCCCCGGGGGAGTCAGCACCCCGAGGCCGACCCGCCAGAGCCTCCGAGACCTCGTGATGGGCAGCTCCCCGCAGCTGAAGAGGAGCGTCTGTGCGGGGGGAAGCAGCCCGGGGAGCTCCTCTGGCGGAGGACGCGGCAAGGGCGGAGGCGACTCGGACAGCGCATCTGTCGCTTCTTCGTCTGCAGAGGAGGAGAGCGGCGCGGGCTCGGTGACGCTGGACCCTCTGGAACACGCCTGGATGCTTTCAGCCTCGGACGGCAAGTGGGACAGCCTCGAAGGCCTGCTCACTTGCGAGCCCGGCCTGCTGGCCAAGCGGGACTTCATCACCGGCTTCACCTGCCTGCACTGGGCCGCCAAGCATGGCAGGCAGGAGCTGCTGGCCATGCTGGTCAACTTCGCCAGCAAACACCAGCTGCCAGTGAACATAAACGCCAGGACGAGCGGAGGCTACACGGCCCTGCACCTGGCTGCCATGCACGGGCACGTGGAGGTGGTCAAGTTGCTGGTGGGGGCTTACGACGCAGACGTGGACATCAGGGACTACAGTGGGAAAAAGGCCTCCCAGTATCTGAGTCCGAGCATCGCGGAGGAAATCAAGAACCTCGTGGGAGCCCTGGACGAGGACGATGGAGACTGTGCCGCTGGCGGCGGGGGTGGGCGCTGGAGCCTATCCAAGGTGCTCCCTTCACACCTCATCACCTACAAACTCTCACACGTCCTGGAGGATGGAGGAGACCACCACCACCACCACCACCACCACCACCACTTGACCGACGGATGGGCTGGAGGCAAAGTGAAGGATCCAGGTCGCAAGGCCCCTGGCAGCTCTAGTGGACGAATAAAACCCAGACTCAATAAAATACGCTTTCGGACTCAGATCATCCACACTACACCCTCTTTTAGAGACCCGGAGCAGCCACTGGAGGAGGAGGGGGAGGAGGAAGAGGAGGATCGGGCTCTTAAAGGACACTCATCCTCCTTCAAATTGAGGCCGAAGTCCAATGTGTTTGGGTAAAAATAATTTCTTTTAGAAAATACTAGGTTTATTGGTCTTCGGAAATATAATACCAAGTGTACAAGAAACTGAGACTAGAAAAGAAGGTAAATTCTGCATTCTTACTTGGGGCGTTTGAATGGGTGGGAAGAATTCCTTGAACAGCGTTCTGGGTTGCAGTAGGTTTACAGGTGGTTTCATCAAACCTTGCCCTAGGCCCCTTTTCCCCATGCCACCCCTCTGCCCTGGAGTCCCTGTTTCTGAGGACTGAAAATGTATTTAAATTGGGTGTACAGAATGCATGATTGAGGGTTCCTTTGATTTTACCAATACTGGCTGCCATGCAAAATAAGGAATATTGCACTTTTATATTTCTATTTTTAAAAGTGGTTACTCTTCCAAGAGCAACAAGAAATGCAAGTTGTAGTGAAATTATACATGTGAACAAAACTACATACTGCCCTGATTTTTGGTTTTTTACTTACTGCATTTACCTGCTAAAATACTACTGAAGGTCAAGTCAAAGTTGAAAAGCAAAAATACTATTTAGAGAATAATGTGAATGAAAATAGTATCCTGTTTGTATCGTAAATAGTGCTCAACTATTTTTTTAAAGGAAATTTCAACTTTAATCACTGAACTAAAGAAATAGGCAACATTCTTCATTTTTGAGGTAATCTGTACTGTGGTTTCCTCTTCACTATCTAGTATCAGTGCACTCAGTATTAAGGTACCTTATTAATAGCTACACACGTTTTTATTTAAAGAGAACACTTAATCTATGGTACTTTTACTTAAACATTGCCTCTGGTTCTGATTCTCACTAATTTGTTTTGCTATTCTAAAAGGCCAGTTTTAATTCTAGGAATCATATAACCATTGGTTCTATTTGACATTACCCTATTTGATGATGCTTAGATGTGAATTGCCTACAGAAGCTGTCTCTGGTTTAGATGACTAGCAAAAATTGGCATAAATGTTAATGAGCCTATGCTTCTGTGAAGTAATTATTAAATCAATGATTCTTACATAAAGTACACTTTTATTTTACTAATAAAATACACTCATAGTCTGTGCTTTGTAGCAATTTTGCAAATGTTTTTAATACTAAAGACTTTCCATTTTCCAATGTTTCCTTGAATCTGATAGAGATGTACAGTGAAGTTATTAAAAGGCTGGATAGTAAATCTACCCAGTTAAAAATAGCACTTTATAAAAGGGGAAAGAGAGAGATGGGACCATTTCTTTATTTAAATGCTGCTGGCTATTGAATTATTTTGTATATAAATGAAAAAATACCTTTCATTAAAATTACAGAGTTTAAATGTAGTTCTTAATTATATTTCATTCAAATTTGTTAGGGTAAATGTTTATATAATTATTGTAGAATTTAACTCACAAGCATATTAAGTTGATTTGTAACAGATTCAAAACAACATTGTGGGAGATTAATTCTAACAAATCCATCTCCCTTAGTCTTTTTAGTCTCCCTAACTGCTGAAACCTAAGAATCTGCAGCCCATAAAGGTTAAAGAGTGAGTTAACAGCTTGCAGAGTGAATGAACCAATATATAAATCACACAGAACTGCAGAGTTTAGAGAGTTCTAGATCTTTACTTTCCCAAGTGGGAGAAATTTGTACGACATTTGTCACACCTTTATAGATAGCAATTGAATTTGTTTAAAGACATCAAAAATATTCACATAAAATATGTAAACTATTATCCATTTGTGTGCCTTTTTGTTTTAGGATTATGGAAATGGGCTATGTACATTTGAGAAGCACCTTTATCCATACATGTGGGTAAGAACAGTCCAATTTTGTATAAACAGAGGTTCCTTGAAGGTGAAAAACGGCCGCTTGTTTGGAATCCTATACACATTACCTGTATCTAGTATAGAACAAGCTATATAACTTCCCACTGAGGAATCTTACATTTCATTGACATATAAAGCTAAAGAGAACTATAAAAAATAGGTACTTCAGAACCTTCTAAATGTTCTAATGAAGTCAATATTAATCTCAGAACATGTGTATTAGTAATAATTGCACAAAATCTATAATTTACTAGATCTTTAGAGATGGAGTCAATACTTCATTTAACCTGCTATTCACACTAAAGATTTTTAACTTTTCCAATAAAATCTAACTCTAAATTTTCAAAAATCATTCCTGAATGCTACTTCTAGCATTATTTGTCATGATGTGCTCGTGTGCAATAAGTATAGCATTTTCATCTACTTAAACTCTACATTCCTCTTATTTTTCAATTTCCAAATTGAGATGATTAAAAGCAAAGGATTTGTGTAACTTGATTTTGTGGAGTTGTGTCTGCTGTTAATGGAAATATATATGTCAATTACTTAGATGTTTGTTGATATGAAAGTGTATGGGGTAGAAAACCCAAGTATGTCCACATGTTTCTTATAGGTACACTTGAAACTATTGAATGTTTGGTCACAGTTCTCTTCACCTTTATGGTATGTAAAATGCAGCTAGTTTATACAATGAAAATCTGGTACTATTTTATTCGTGACTGAAATCGTAGGAGTCTAGGATGCTAGTCTTATTTTTTAAACAAGTGAAACTTTGGTAGTTTTAGAGTGTATAATTTGTAAAAGTTTGTTTTGCCAAAATAAAAGATTCACACTACATTTTTTTCTCTGAATTGTCTAAATAATTGTAGTCCTTTATGCTTCTTACCTGTGTGGTGTTTTGTAGTTCACACAGTGCTTTTTCAAGTTTCCATTTATTTGATCCCTTTCCTGTCCCTTAAAGTTAATAAAGGAATGAAGTTCGATGGCTGTTCAGGGTCATGAAGTAAATAGCAGTTAGTAAGGTTTTAAGATTTAGTGCTTTTCCACAGTATATTTTCTGCACTTCAAATTGCCAGATTTTGGCAAAACTACTGTAGTTTGGCTTCAGTGATGGAAGAATCAACTTGGACACCACTACCTTTAAAAAAACAAACAAACAAACAAAAAAACCCTATCGTTCACTCACACACCAGCTAACTGAACCCTTCCTACCCAGACCAGATCTTAAGAAAGATATGGGAATGTGTTTTTCTATTCAATATCTATTAAGCTTTGGTCATTAAGGAGCTTTGGTTTCCTCACCAAAAAACAACAACAAAACCACAAAAACTTTTATCTTTATTTTAATGAAATTCACCTCTATTCATCTGGTAAGGGAACGTGTGGGAAGCCTTGATGCACTCCTGGGAAGATCCAATTATGATTGCTGCTGGGGATTTTTGTTGTCACTCTTGCTTTATGACAACTTAAAATATATTTTTCTATACAACTGAAGGATTAAAGTTTAGTTTCTGTTTCTAGAATGACTTCAAAGTACGTATCTTAAAAGGATTAACTGAACAGTCCACTTGAAGGTATCTTTGTAATTTGTCCTAGTGAAAAACTATATTTTGCTAAATAAATGGCAATTATTTGGAGTTTCCTGGAAACTAAATCCTAAAAAATTTTCCTTAATCCTAAAAAATAAATACTCTGGGAACTTGCTGCAAACCATTGTTCCTTTGGTGATGAGTCAGATTTTCATGAAATAATGTTAGAAGTTAGGTTGGAAAATGAAGAAATAAAATGACACTTTGTGAACTCCTTTATCAAGATTCAGCAGTAGAGTTGTTCGGGTCATATCCGATTATTTTCCTCTATACTCTTTTCTCCTTAATCTTCTCTTTAAATCTCAGTTTCATCTTAGGAGTGGCTTCCCCATTTAGTTAAAAAGAATTGTCTATTTTTCCACATTTAAATTGGTGAGAAATATGGGACAAGTTGCCACTCTCGCACAATGCCTGGCATGTTGAAGATCGTAAGTGGGTTTGGGTTTTTGGGGGTTTTTTTTAGTGGACAACACTAAAATATTTCATGTTGTTCCATCATATGGATAATTCGAATTGTACACATTTTTGCCAAATGAATAAGGTAAGTAATTTTTATAGGATCTGGTTCCTAAGTCCTGGCCAACCACTTCATTTACAGACCAGCCAAAAGAACAATCTTCCAACCAGGAGGTAAAATCAGCTTTAATAGGATTTTACTTTGGAGCAACTTAAAAGATTTTCATGAGTAAATTTGATTATCAGAAAGTTTTACCTTACAAGTTGAGATTCAAGTACATAATCCCTGAGAGAATCTACTTTCACTGGCTTTAAATATTCTAAGTATTAGCATGTATACAAATGACCACTTTGTGAAAACCCCAAAACCAAAAGAATAGAGAGGTGAAGTTTAGCTTAGAGAACTTTCTAATAAACATTTTAAACATACCATGGACTTCTCAGTAGACACAACACAGCCCTTGAAGATAATTATCAGAGGTTATATGAGCACCTGAGTAGTTAAAGCAGATCTATGCACATTTGTGACTGATCCTGTCTTTTTAAAAAAAAAAAGATTTATTTTTTTATTCATAAGAGACACAGAAAGAGAGAGAGAGAGGCAGAGACATAGGCAGAGGGAGAAGCAGGCTCCTCACAGGGAGCTGAAAGCGGGACTCAATACTGGATCCTGGGATCATGCCCTGAGCCAAAGGCAGACGCTCAACCACTGAGCCACCCAGGTGCCCTGTGACTGATTCTGTCTTAATAAACATTGCTCTAGAATGTTAGAATCCTATTCATTCTGTCCAAAGGTTTAGTAAAACTGGCCTGACTTTGAAATAAGTTATCCAGTGAAGTAGCATTATACAATTTTTTAGCCCTAATTTATGCTGTTCTGATGAAAGAACCTGGAAGCAGGTGTTAGGATACTCATGGGTTTCTCAGAAGTTTTTTTTTTTTTTTCTCAGAAGTTTTGAATTTAATTTCTATAAATATAATTGAGCTTTCCTGAGATTCATCCAGAAGTTTCAATATTGATAAGTGTGATCCTTAAGTTTTGTCTCAGTCCATCTGGGCTGCTATAACAGAATACCATAGACTGAATAGTTTATAAACAGAAATTTATTTTTCACAATTATGGAGGCTAGGAAGTTCAAGCCCCAGATGCTGGCAGAGCCCGTGTCTGCTAAGAATCTGCTTCCTGCTTCATGGACAGTGGTCTAGGGGTCTCTTTTACAAAGGCACTAATCCCATTCATGAGGGCTTCCCACCTTTTAGGAGGGCCTTACCTCCTAAAATCCTGGGGGGGGGGCGGCGGGGGGGGCAACATATGAATTTTGGGAAGACACATTCAGTCCATAAAAAGTACATATTCAAGGGGCAATGGTCTGGCTGTGGTCAGCAGTTCAATCCTATGGCTGCATGCGGAGTCTGCACTGAGGAGATTCTAAACCCAGCTAAGAGTTTTCTTTGGCTGTGTGAAAACAGTCATTATTTCCAGGAAGCTTACTGTGCAGGCCAGGCAAGGCTTTAAGCACTTTATAAAAAGTGAGCCGTTTTATTCTCCCTGCTCTGTCCCTCCTCATTAGATTCTAGTGTCTCCATTTTATTGAAGGAAACACTGAGGTGCAGAAACTGACTATTTGTCCAAGTCTACAAAAGTAGCTGGGAGTAAAGCCTGGCCTTAACCTCAGGCGACTTGGTTCTAGGGCTTGTGGTAAGCACTAGACTCTGCCACTTCTCTGGGAACATAAATTATAGTCAACTGGCCATAAGCTTACAAGGCTGCAACCTCATCAGGCAGAAAAAAATTCACAGTTCCTGTATGAGACCAAACAAAACCACAAGCCCTGATGATTGAGGCGAATACTGACTTTCATATCTGATACTGCTGCACAACAATAAGATGGAAACTAGATTTTTAGGTGTTTAGTTTTTTTTCTGTTTTACCTAGGATAAAATTCAGTTGGGTTGAGAAAGATCCTTTTCTTAGCTCAGGATGATAGAGTTGCTAAAATGTATAAGGGGTATGGTTAGGTTTCTTTGTTTAGGCTCACCTCCCCTCTCCCCAGCCTCTCCTCCCACTTTGAGCACTAGGCTTTAATGGAAGGGCTCACTGCTTCCACAAAATCATAACATTAAAGGTCAGCCTGAAAGAAAACCAACACATCATCCATTTTCCTTGCCATAAAATTACCAATTTTTAAACAAATGAATCTGAATTTTGAGAACTCATCTTGGAATAGTCATAAACTTGTCTTTGCTATATTATAAAGGGTGATATTTAAATGTTTTAAAGAACGATCTTTAGGGATATTTGCCCTTTGTTTGTAAACTGCTTTTAAAAATGAGTCACTTGGGACGCCTGGGTGGCTCAGTAGTTGAGCCCCTGCCTTGGGCTCAGAGCCTAATGCTAGGGTCCTAGGATCAAGTCCCGTATCAGGCTCCCTACATGGATCCTACTTCTCCCTCTGCCTGTGTCTCTGCCTCTCTCTGCGTCTCTCATGAGTAAATAAGTAAATAATAAAATCTTTTTAAAAAAAATGAGTCACCTCCTACAACTTTGACACCCAGTTAACTACATATGTACTTCAAATGAATAAAAATACCTTGCTTTAATTTATTATTTTTAAACAAGATTTTATTCATTTATTTAAACAGAGACAGAGAGGGCACAAGCATGGGGAGTGTCAGGCAGAGGCAGAGAGAGAAGCAGGCTCCCTGCTGAGCCAAGAGTCCCCTAAGATGAGAGGCTCCATCCCAAAACCCTAGAATCATGACCTGAGCTGAAGGCAGATATTTAAATGACTGAGCAATCTAGACACCCCATAATTTATTAACTATTTTATATAAAAATGTAATGTATGCTCATGGATTTAAACAAATGACAGAATAGAACTAGGTAAGGTAAAAAAAAAAATAAAATAAATAAAAAAAAAAAGAACTAGGTAAGGTAAAAAGTAAAAACTATTCATTTCTTCCCATTTGTATTCCCCAGTGTAGCTCCAACTTAATGGTTCCTTCTATGCTTTCGAGTATTTTACTTTAATTTATACTAGCCTCTCTCCTTGGTCTAAAATCGTTCATTCAGTTTTCACTAGATTATATCTAATACAGATATTGAAAAAGTGAAAAAAAGCTAGTAAACTTTTTTTTCCACTCTTGGACTGTTCCTTCAGGTTTCCATCTGAAATCATCTGCAGGTTGCCTGAGAAATGTTACTTGAGGTCTGCTCTTCTTTTCCTTTCCTGTTGGGTTGGAGGGGAGTTAGTGTAGTCTAGCCACATTAATTCTCATATTGACTGCTCAGATTCGCTCTTTCCTTATGTCCTTTCATACGTTGCTATCTCCTGTGTTTACACAGAAAATCTTTTTTTTACAAAAAAGATTTTATTTATGAGAGTGTGTGTGCACACGTGCTCTCACATGAGCAGAAGAAGGGAGGGGCAGAAGGAAAGGCAGGAGCAGACTCCCCAGTGAGCAGGGAGCCCAATGTAGGGCTTGATCCCAGGCTCCGAATTGTTACCTGAGCCAGAGGCAGAGATTCAACTGACTGAGCCACCAAAGCACCCCTATATAAGGAAAATCTGTTCAAATTTGGGCTGCATTGAAATTATGCTCTTAACTAATTATGAAGTGATATTTCGGTAAGTAAATGAAGAGAATAAGGAGTATTTAAGAGAAATGTTGGTAGGTGAAGACTGTAAACCACCTCCACATGTCTTTCATTTAAGGCTAATACTACTATTAGTGTAGGATATTGAAGAGAGAATTCCTGAACTAAGTGGAAAGGTGGACAGGATAAACTTTGAAGTCAT